GGGGTGCTGGGTGCAGGAGCGGGTATGGGGTGCTGGGTGCAGACGGGCAGCACTGACTTACCTCGGGTGGCTCCCGGTAAGCGTTGCAGTGGGGCTAAGGCAGGCTCCCTGCCTGCCCCAGCCCTACACCACTCTCAGAAGGGGCCAACACACCCCTCTGGCCCCTGGGGGGGGGCATAAAATCATAGAAGATTAGGGTTGGAAGAGACCTCAGGAGGTCATCTATTCCATCCCCCTACTCAAAGCAGGACCAACACCAACTAAATCATCCCAGCCAGGGCTTTGTCAAGCCAGGCCTTAAAAACCTCTAAGGAAGGAGATTCCACCACCTCCCTAGATAATCCATTCCAGTGCTTCACCACCCTCCTAGTGAAATAGTGTTTCCTAATATCCAACCTAGACCTCCCCCCACTACTCCTTGTTCTGTCATCTGCCACCACTGAGCAGGGCCGGCTCCAGGCACCAGCACAGGAAGCAGGTGCTTGGGGCGGCCAATGGAAAGGGGCGGCATGTCCGCGTCTTCGGCGGCAATTTGGCAGCGTGTCCCTCAGTCCCTCTCGGAGGGAAGGACCAGCCGCCGAAGAATGAAGTGGCGCGGTAGAGCTGCTGCCAATCGCGATCGCGGCTTTATCATTTTTTTTTCCTTCGCCTCTTGGGGCAGCAAAAAAGCTGGAGCTGGCCCTGCCGCTGAGAACAGCCGGGCTACATCCTCTTTGGCAGTTGAAAACAGCTATCAAATCCCCCCCTCACTCTTCTCTTCTGCAGACTAAATAAGCCCAGTTCCCTCAGCCTCTCCTCATAAGTCATGTGCCGCAGCCCCCTAATCATTTTTGTTGCCCTCCGCTGGACTCTCTCTTATTTGTCCACATCCCTTCTGTAGTGGGGGGACCAAAACTAAATGCAATGCTCCAGGTGTGGCCTCAGCAGTGCGGAATAGAGGGGAATAATCACTTCCCTTGATCTGCTGGCAATGCTCCTACTGATACAGCCCAATATGCCGTTGACCTTCTTGGCAGCAAGGGCTCACTGCTGACTCATATCCAGTTTCTCATCCACTGTAATCCCCAAGTCCTTTTCTGTAGAACTGCTGCCTAGCCATTCGGTCCCTAGTCTGTAGCAGTGCATGGGATTCTTTCATCCTAAGTTCAGGACTCTGCACTTGTTCTTGTTGAACCTCATCAGATTTCTTTTGGCCCAATCCTCCAATTTGTCTAGGTCACTCTGGACCCTATTCCTACCCTTCAGCATATCTACTTCTTCCCCCAGCTTAGTGTCATCTGTGAACTTGCTGAGGGTGCAATCCACCCCATCATCTAAATCATTAATAAAGATGTTGAACAAAACCGGTCCCAGGACCGACCCCTGGGACACGCCACTTGATACTGGCTGCCAACTAGACATGGAGCCATTGATCACCACACATTGAGCCTGACAATCTAGCCAGCTTTCTATCCACCTTATAGTCCACTCATCCAATCCATACTTCTTTAACTTGCTGGCAAGAATATTATGGGAAACAGTATCAAAAGCTTTGCTAAAGTCAAGATATATTACATCCATTGCTTTCCCCATATCCACAGAGCCAGTTATCTCATCATAGAAGGCGATCAGGTTGGTCGGGCATGAGTTGCCCTTGGTGAATCCATGTTGACTGTTCCTGATCACCTGCCTCTCCTCTAAGTGCTTCAGAATGGATTCCTTGAGGACTTGCTCCATGATTTTTCCAGGGACTGAGGTGAGGCTGACCAGTCGGTAGTTCCCCGCGTTCTCTTTCTGCCCTTTTTTAAATATGGGGCCTATATTTGCCTTTTTCCAAACATCCGGGACCTCCCGCAATTGCCACGAGTTTTCAAAGATAATGGCCAATGGCTCTGCAATCACATCAGCCAACTCCCTCAGCACTGTTGGATGCATTAGATCTGGGCCCATGGACTTGCTTTTCTAAATAGTCCTTAACCTGTTCTTTCACCACTCAGGGCTGCTCACCTCCTCCCCATACTGTGCTGCCCAGTGCAGCAGTCTGGGAGCTGACCTTCTCTGTGAAGACCGAGGCAAAAAAAGCATTGAGTACTTCAGCTTTTCCCACATCATCTGTCACTAGGTTGCCTTGCCCATTCAGTAAGGGTCCCACACTTTCCCTGACCTTCTTCCTGGTCCTGCTTTGAGCAGGGGGTTGGACTAGATGACCCCCTGAGGTCCCTTCCAACCCTGATATTCTATGATTCTTCTTGTTGCTAACATACCTGTAGAAACCCTTCTTGTTACCCTTCAAATCCCTTGCTAACTGGAACTCCAAGGGTGCTGCCCGTCTCTGCAGGCACCGCTCCCACAGCTCCCATTGGCTACAGTTCCCCATTCCCACCCAATGGGATGTGCAGGGGCAGTGCTTGAAGGAAGGAGTCATGCACAGAGAACCCCAGGGTGCAGGGGCATACTGGCTGCTTCTGGGAGTGCCACATGGCTGGGGCAGGCAGGGAGCCTGTCTTAGCAGCAGCGGGTAACCCTGCTGCACTGCCAGAGATCTCGATCAACTGGGAGAGTCTCCAGGATCGACTAGTCATTCGCAATCGACTGGTAGGTGACCACTGCTCTAGCTAGACAAAAGGTGGGAAGGGAAACTGAGGCATAAAGCAGGACAGTGAGTTGCCCACAGTCACCCAGCATGACAGTGACAGAGCTTAGCTTAGAACCCAGATCTCAGTCCAAGACCCAAAGCACTTTGCCATGCTGCCATCATAGCATCAGCCCCACCCAGCGATGAGGTGTGTCCGTTAGGAGGGAGAGAAACCTTGATAAAGGTCCCAGGCCCAGCAGGGAGAGGAGGTTTCTCACTGGGATTCTGAACTCCTGTGCTGCTCCATAAGGGATTAAACTCAGATGCTGCCGGCCTGCACTAGAGGAGGTCACTGGGACCCCGAGCACCTTCAGTCCACACACAAAAGGGCTCCAGACAGCTCAGGTTCATGCCAAGTACCACTGGGATTACACTGGATTGCAGCAAAACTAACCCCAGGCTGGAGCTGACCGGTGCCAGTCTGACCTGTTCTGTTGTGTACGTGGGCAAGGACCAGCCAGAGTGGTTCCATTAGTCCCACCAGGCAGCCTTTTGAAATCTCCCAGAATGCACTGCTTCTGGGATCTTTACCAGGGAATGGGACCATGGGTATCTGCCCAGGGGGCATTGCCACAGAAAGGGTTTAGGACAGCACTGGGGAAACCACAACCCATTCTTTATACAAATCTGCATCATGTCTAATTAGGGTGGTCACTGAGGCATCCCCAGAACATAGGACATGCCCACGCCTGCCTGCATGGGCCCGTCCTCACCAGTATCAGTTGCCCCGCATGAGCCAACCACCGCTTTTTTCAGTGTGCCACCCACCTGAATCATTCTGCATGAAGGTGCCACCCCAGCCCTGCCCCCACTTTCACGGGTGTCCTCCTGCATCCTCAGTCTCCTCCTCTCTCTTTTGCACCAGACAAAGCCACATCCAGTGCCGAGTCCCTACCGGGCAGGGATAGTGCTCCACAAAACTGGGACTGCGCAGCTTCAATCCAGACAAATGGCCTCCGGACGTCTCATCGGGTTTGCCCTGGTGCTTAGACCAGCTCTGCCCAACCAGTGCAGTCCCCAGGGCTTCAGGGCTGAAATCCCAGCCCGTATTGAAATCCTGGTGGCTTCGGAGAATTGTATCACTTTGTTTGTTAAACCTTCTACAAAGCAGGTTTATTGATTCACCCCTCCATGTGACTTCCAGTGCCCTGTTATGCTCTGTACCACTAATCAATTCACAACTATCAGTAAAGCTTGGTTATAATTGAGATCTCTCTCTAATTACTAAAAAGGCTGGACCGCAACTGGTAACAAATCAGAATGTGACACATCCCCAGTCTCCATTAATGAGGTTTCATCTCCTTGGTGGCCTTGATGTCACAAAGCGATTAGAATCACAGTCACCTTGGGTTTCGGGTGCAAAAACTCCCACTTCCAAGCACCTCTCAACTATCCAGATGAAACCTCCCAAATCATTTCTGTTTCTTCAGGAAAGAATCCAGGCCCATTTGAAGACTCTGAGGGAAGAGAGAGAAAAGTTGCTGGGATTGAAAGCGACTGCAGAGGGGAATAGCCGGGAGTATCTGGTAGGTGCCTGTTGTTATGAGCCAGAAGGACTGGCAGTGGGAGGTCTTTTTGGAGGCAGAGTCCTGTGTGGCCTTGGTGAACATGGGCTTATGTGTGATTCTCCATGGTCATGGATTGTTGGGTTAGATTCATGTGTAGACA